TAGAAATGTAACAAGATAAAATATATTTCAGCATGATAATTGTGGACCCAGTGTTAATAGAGGCAAGAGCCAAGGAAAGAGCCAGATTTATTTGAGTGAGCCTTGGTCTGGTGTTTGGTTGTCAGATAGAGTATGCCAATCAGTGAAGCAACGTCCAAGGTAACGTACGCCACTGTCTGAAATCTAAAATTATCTGGGTTCACTTACTATATTCACATACTATACTATGTCTTGTTTCATGTGTGCACTAGTGCCCAGTACCTGCATGGTGTGAATTGCATTGTACAATCCAGCAGTTAAACAATAACGTGGTAGATGATTATAATAATATAATTTTTTTAATCCAAACGAACATGTTGAATTGTCAGGATTTCTATGCAAGAAACTAGGTGCTATTTTGCATGTCTGAGATGGATACTAAGGTGCTGCATCCTAGTAAGTGTGAACAGCAAGGTTTACATTGTACAGTTAGCAGTTTCAAGGCTACAACACATGGACAAGCAACCATTGTCAATGACAATATTGATCAAGCATGTCATAAGGGAGTGGTCATTATTTATGGGGAGGGGGGTTGGGAAATGGGAGGGGGGGGCGCAAACGAAGTTTTACCCTTATAAATGGGGGGGTCAAAAACGTTTTAACACAGAGAAAGGGGGGATCATAAAAGTTTTTGATTTCTATAATCACAAATAGGAAAAAAGAAGACTCTGAAAATGCTATTTCCAACGATCTAGAGACTCAAAATTTTCAAAATTTCCCAGCTCGGCGCCAACCATGGTGGCGCCTCGCGACCGTTGAGCCCACTAAGTTTAACAAGCTTTCTACCCCCTGAGTGACCCAGTTGTGGTATTTACATAAACATACCATGCAAGTACACTTAACTGATCAGATTCAGTCTATCAACGCACAATGTAACGCTGTATATCCAAAAATCTGTTTCAGAAAATGCTCACATTTCAGTTCTAGGGGTGGAAAAATACAAAAAATTTTCTGGGGGAGAATACCCCCAGACCCCCCTACTAGTACATAAGATAACACACCAAACTTTTTGTCACCAATAACCATCTGTCATCTCTCCACACTCAATATAGTATGGTCCCTTTTTGTAGATGCCCACCCCCCAGACAAGTTCTTAAATTAAAAAAACCCTGTGTTCAAATCACTTCGCTGTATGAAGACGGGTCATGGGTTAGGGTTATGGTAGGACAAATGTTGCATTGCAAAATAGTAACGCATAATATATATTTGTTAATCATATATGGTTGAATCATATTCACCGGGGTAAAACATCATGAGCTAGATTAAACAGATTGTCCTAATATCTAACTTTACCTGCAACGCACACCTGTTTCATTGCTGTTAATTTTTCAATCCACACTGGGGGGGGGGTCAGAAAAGTTTCTACTTTTATGAGGGGGGAGGCACAAAAAGTTTGCCTTCAGTCTGGAGGGGGGATCAAAAAAGTTTTCAATCCTTATTTTCCCCATTCCCCCCCCTCCCCATAAATAAGGACCACTCCCTTAAACCTGCCAGATAAAATAGTGACATAATTGAACATGGCCAGCATTCTGTTCTGCTGACACTTTCTTTACAATTTAACTAAATAAAGAAATGGGATAAAAAAATAAAAGTAGTGTAAACTGTGGTCCATGCTCACAATTTCCCTGTGACTTATTTTTAAATCACATCGCCTTTTATCAGAAATTGCATTGCAAGTTGCAGATTTACTACAGGAGGGGGGGGGGGTGCACCCTCCAAGCCCTGACAGGAGGGGATGCAGGGGGTGCTTTTTTGATAAAGCAACAAATAATAGAGACAAAATGAGATACAGTAATTTGAGCAATGACATGATGATAAGCAAACTGTGAACAACAATAATTCAAATACATTATGTTGATGGGCGAGTGGATGGCACACATGACCGACACAACTCTGCACCAGAGCTGCCCCCTACTAGATTATGCTGGATCGATCCCGACCAGACCCTTCTTTGGCGCGCTTCATTTCCGCTGTGGAAAGGACTTTTGTCACTTGCAGCGAGCCAAAATCACCGGTGGAATAATCCACCGGTGAAGTCATTGTTTACATTTTCGAAGGAGTCTAAAAATAATATTATATTCTCACGCTTTTTTGTTGAACAAATATGTATTATTGAAGCAAATAGAGTAAACAATGTAAATACAATACAATACACAAACATACATTACATTGAGTATATTAAAAGTACAAATAAACTTTACTACTATCACCGAAGATGCATCTGATGATTCTAAAATTTCCTCATTTCCGTTTCGGGTTTAGTTTGGGTTTCTTGATCTCAAGATTGTTGCAGAAGTTAAAGATTTACTACAGGAGGGGGGGGGG